GAAATAAGATAACTTTGCGCTGGAGACTGGCATAATAAAGAGGTCATTTCAACCCTTTTCCCCCTATGCAGGTTGGTGAAGCTATTTGGCGTGATGTATTGGGAAAGCTCAGAGCAGACATCTAGGATTAGTAAATCCTGAAAGTAACTTGTGGGTGCTTCATCTAATGTGCAAAGGGAGGAAATGTAAATTATGGTTGAAATACTTAATTGCCTCCTTACTGTCAACTCCACCAAGATACACCGAGCCATGACACGTTGAAGACTTCTCTGAAACTATAGGGCTGAGCCACCCATCATCCATCATTGGTTCAAGTTAAATCCAGGAATGTCTTAGAATTTGAGCTCCCAATAATGTAATGGGGTAATATATGGGAAGTGACAAAAGTGACATGAGCCCTGGGCAGGATGGACGGTTAGAATCCAAGGCCAACCTGAGTTATACAGCAAGACTACTGTATCCAAACTAGAGACCCATACTGGCCATGGGGATATTTGTGACCTCCTGGTGGTGAGTCCCGCATGCCAGGGTAAAATTTTACTTAGTACAAAGCATTTCCATCAGAAAGGGCATCTCCTGAGATGGTCATTCTAGGCTGGGCTTGAGGAAACTAGAATTTTTAGGCATGAAGTACTGTCTACAGCGTACTCTTCGAAGCCCTGAGTCACATAGGGTGCCAGCTCTCAGTGCTGACCTTTCACTCTCTCCTTGCCCGCTCTTCATTTTGCCCTCAGCGGCTGGCCTTGATGTACCGGATGCAGGTTGCAAATATCGACAAATTTGAAGAGAAGCTTCGAGCAGCTGAAGATGAACTGAACATTGAAAGCAAGGACCGGATTCCCGTTTCCTATAAGCGAACAGGATTCTTTGGAAAGTATGTTGGTTGTCTGTGGACTTGACTTTGTAGTGTGAGCCACACTGAACAGACAGCAAATCCTGAGTTGACTACTGGATCCCTGTGGGAAGGTCCCATGAGTGTGCGAGTAGAGAGGCTGCAGATGTGGACGTGCAGATCCCTAGAGCATTCGTTCACTTTGTTTAGTTGTCTGTGATAGTTCTTAATTAGACGCACCAAGCTTGCTGTTTTCTGTAAAGGAAAATGGAACAGAGGGAATAGGAAGGGTCACAGTCAGTAGAAATTCTTCAGTGGCATCTTAGCACTGTTTGGTATATTGTGAGGGACCATGGAACCCACAGACATTGCTCGGCCAACAGTGGTGATGAAGCCAGCATCTAAAGAGAAGGTTACTGTGAGTTTGAAACCTGGGATGCAGAAGCCGGCATCTAGCAGGTATTCCTTTGACAATGACTTGATAGCTTTACAGCCCAGATGCTAAAACCTCCCACCCTGTGACTGATCTGGTTTTATTGTCAAGTGACAGGGAGGTATGGGGCAGGTCATGGGTGGTCGGTCCTCTTCTTCCTTCTCAAATAGAGAGCCTAATCCAGAGTTTAATTTTGTTAAGTTTTGTTTGTTTACTAGTTGAAAATGACAATATAATATTAGCCATAGAAAAACCTGCTTTTGCTGGGCATTGTCATAAGACAGGCTAAGTAAGTCTTTGTACACGCAGTATAAACACTTGAAAAGCTTTGTGGTAACAGTGGGACAGGTGACCATGTCTGCACAATTGTTTACCTTCTGCCTTGTCCTCAGAGCTAGAGGTCCCAGCTTTGTTCATCAGTTTCCCTGACAATGACTTCATCCCTATAACTGCCTTTCCTTCTTACCCAGTGCCCTCTACGCCCTGGGGATGACAGCAGTGGGCTTGGCCATCCTGTGGTATATTTTCAGACTGACTGGGATGACAGGAAGGGAAGGCGGATTCAGTGCTTTCGTAAGTTGTCTGTATGTGAGAACTTGAATCCTTCTCTATAGCCTATAGAAAAGTCCTCAGAGAGCCGGATGGTGGTGGCACACAATTTAATCCCAGCACTTGGGAGGCAGAGACAGGCGGATCTCTGTGAGTTTGAGGTCAGTGTGGTCTACAAGAGCTAGTTCCGGGACAGGCTCCAAAGCTACAGAGAAACCCTGTCTCGAAAAACAAAACAAAAAAAAAAACCCAAAAAACGAAAAACAAAACAAAGAAAAAAAGAAAGAAAGAAAGAAAGAAAAGAAAAGTCCTCAGGGGAAATGGGAAAATGAGCTTTTTACAGTATCTGTGATGAACAGCCTGTCTTGTCAGTGTTGCTGAAAGCCCATTTCCGGACATGGGAGCCACTGAGCCCCACTGTGTATAGGGAACTGTGTTCTGTCTGTACCCACCCCCCGTCTGTTTGCCTTTTTTTTTTTCAAAGTTCCATGTTAGCTTGGAGTGGTACTCTTCTTTTTTCTATTATTGGCTAATAAAGAAACATTAAAAATTCCTTAAAGAGCAGCCACAATAGAGGAAAGCTCCCCTTCTACTCTTTTTTTTTTTTTTAATCTTTTTGTTGTGCATTGTGTTTTGCCTGTGTAACGGGGTCAGATCCCCTGGAACTGTAGTTGCAGACAGTCGTGAGCTGCCATGTGGGCGCTGGGAATTGAACCCAGGTCCTCCAGAACAATCAGTACTCTTAAGTGCTGAACTATCTCTCTAGCCCCTCTCTCCCATCCTGTTCTTGGGATATTTCTTAGGAAATGTGCTTCCCTCCCATGGCTTCTCCATCCCTCAGCATAGACTGGGATGTAGGCAGCTTCCTTTCTACCCCTGGGAGTGTCGCTCTGTTTTCACTGAGAATGCAGCTTATTTCTGTCTCCTTAGCTAAAGAAGACTTTTTCTTCTGCCGTGGTGTTGGTGATTAACCCCAGAGCCTATACTTGCTAGGCGAGTAGGTGAGCTCTCTACCACTGAGCTATGCTCCTTACCCTGAGGAGAAGTTGTGGTTGTCTTTTCCCTTTTCCTTTTATTTTTGGATCTCACTATGCAACTATGCAGCCTTGGTTGGCCTGATACTCTGTGTGGACCAGGCTAACATGGAACCTAGAGGGGTAGACCTGCCTCTGCTCTGAAAGCTGGGATTAAAGGTATGAGTTACCATGCCCAAAAAGAGTGTTGCTTTTATTTTGTTTTATTTTTTGATTTTGAGACAGGGTTTCTCTGTGTAGCCCTGGCTGTCCTGGAACTTGCTTTGTAGACCACACTGGCCTCAAACTCAAAGATCTGCTTGCCTCTGCCTCCCTAGTGCTGGGATTAAAGGTGTGTGTTGCCACCACCTGGCTCCAAAGAGAGTTTTATATTTTTACTTAGCTATTTAAACTTTATTTTTATTTTTGTGTATGGGTGTTTTGCCTGCATGTGTGTGTACCCTGTGCATGCAGTGCCCACAGTGGCTGGCAGAGTGTTGAATCTCCTGGAACTCAAGTTATAGAAGGTTGTCTCTATGTGGGTGACCCTCTGTAAGAACAAGTGCTCTTATCCGCTGAAACATCTCTCCAGTTCTATTTTTTGTTTCTTTGTTTTTGTTTTATTTCGTTTCATTTTCGAGGTAAGGTTTCTCTGTGTATCTTTGGAGCCTGTCCTGGAACCTCGCTCTATAGACCTGGCTGGCCTTAAACTCGTAGAGATCCACCTGCCTCTGCCTCCTGAGTGCTGGGATTATTCAGGTGTGTGCCACCACCACCCAGCCTCCAGTTCTATTTTTTTTTTCTGACATGAATTGTTAGATTATGGGGATGGAGAGCTGGCTCAGAGGTTAAGAGCACTGGCTGTTCTTCCAGAGATCCTGAGTACAATTCCCAGCAACCACATGGTAGCTTACAACCATCTGTAATGAGATTTAATGCCCTCTTCTGGCCTGCAGGCACACACGCAGGCAGGACATTGTATACATAATATATAAATCTTTAAAAATATTTTGTTAGATTGCTTTCTTCCTAATATAAACAACACAAATCAAAGATTCCCCTTGTATGTTTGAAATGGTCTGTGATCTCCATTGTCATGGAGGGAGTAGGCTGATAGCTGGTCCTCCTGGGCTGTGAGAGGAAGCAGCTCCACCGAGGATGGAGATACATTTTTGTGTTAGATCAGGCAGATAGTAGCTACTGCTTCCCTGTTTTGCTAGAGATGCACACCTTCCTGCCCTGACTCTTTTTGCACAGAATCAGCTTAAAATGGCACGTTTCACCATCGTGGATGGGAAGACAGGGAAAGGAGTCAGCTTCCAAGATGTGGCAGGAATGCATGAAGCCAAACTGGAAGTCCGAGAGTTTGTGGATTATCTGAAGGTGAGAGTCATGTGTTAAGGCCATTAAAGACGGGGGTAGGTGGTGACATCTCTCCAAGAAGGAAGGTGGGATGAGCAGACACTAAGACTGGAGCTTGCTCCATGAGCTAGATGTGATTTGTTAAGGGCACCACTCTCAGCGTACAGGTACGATGTTCTGTACCTGGGAAACCAACAGCATTGCCCAGTATGCAGCTGGCCATCACAGGAGGAGAGTGTAATCGTGCACTTCAGCTAGACCATCTTTTCTTTTGGAGCTGAAAGCCTATGAAACTTTGTTTTCTGGACCCCTGAGAGTGTAGCTGATTCACGACTGTCATAGTTTCTCTTCATATGAGTCACTTAAACTTCTCCATGAAAGGCTGAGTACTTAGTGTCACATGTCTTTTCCTCACTAGAGCCCAGAACGCTTCCTTCAGCTTGGTGCCAAGGTTCCAAAGGGTGCCCTATTGCTGGGACCTCCTGGTTGTGGGAAGACGCTGTTGGCCAAGGCAGTAGCCACGGAGGCTCAAGTGCCCTTTTTAGCAATGGCTGGCTCAGAGTTTGTGGAGGTCATTGGAGGTAGGTATGGGCTGGAAGTAAGGGCAGGTTTATTGGCCTAGTGCCTGGGATGACTTTTTACATAACCCTCCCTAATATGGGAGGCTGAGTGGAACAGAGAAGGACAAACATAGCCCAAGTTCAAATAATCTTTGGTCCAAGCCAGGTAGAGGTGGCACACACCTTTAATTCCAGCACTGAGAAGCAGATGCAGGTGGATCTCTGAGTCTGAGGCCAGCCTGGTTTACAGAGTGAGTTCCAGGATATCCAGGGCTACACAGAAACCCTGTCTTCAAAACGAAACAAAAAACAAACAAAAGCTTTGACCCACATCCACTTGGTAGTTGTGGGTTGGGAGTCCTGGATGGTAAGATGGCACTTCTGGTTCATCTGCAGAGAGTGACCTGTTAGATATAGGCATCTTTGGTGGAAGATTTTGCCTAGCCGTAACCCCAAAATAGGATTTGATTTCCTTCATCTGCCTATCTTCTGACACTCTGTGTCCCCTCAGGCCTGGGAGCTGCCCGTGTGCGAAGCCTCTTCAAGGAAGCTCGAGCCCGAGCCCCTTGCATAGTGTACATTGATGAGATCGATGCTGTGGGGAAGAAGCGGTCCACCTCCATGTCTGGCTTCTCCAACACAGAGGAAGAGCAGACCCTCAACCAGCTCCTGGTCGAGATGGACGGTCAGTGCCAAGCATGCCTTACCATACACTGTACACCAGAGGAGACTGACCCTGTCAGAGTGACGGCCTTCAGGGCAGATGAACCTGGTGACATTTTTTTGTTCTAACTTCTGGAATATCACTGATAGGGGTATTATTTTTTTTCTTTAGCCACTGTTACTTATTGTTCACTCCTGCCCTAGTGAGAACATTATGCAGAGAATAGTTTAGATGTTGACATCTAACAGCAAAGTCAGCTTAAGAATTGTCCATCTCTTTGCTACCTTTAACAAACGCCACTTTCACAAGCCAGGCAATAGTGGTACATGCCTTTAATCTGAGCACTTGGGAGGCAGAGATGGGAATCTTTGTGAGTTTGGGACCAGCCCGATCTACAGAATGAGTTCCAGGACAGGCTCTAAGCTCTAAAGCTACAGAGAAACCCTGTCTCAAATAAACCAAAAGAAAGCCGGGCAGTGGTAGCACATACCTTTAATCCCAGCACTCGGGAGGCAGTGACAGGTGGATCTCTGTGAGTTTAAGGCCAGCCTAGTCTACAAAGGGGTAACCCTCCTTGCAGGACAGTTATGTTAAAGACATCTTTCGGGGGGACTGTGATGTGTGTTTTTGCTTTTTTGAGACAGGGTTTCTCTGTGTAATAGCCCTGACCGTCCTGGATCTTACTTTGTAGACCAGGCTGACCTCAAACTCACAGAGTCTGCCTGCCTTTGCCTCCTGAGTGCTGGAATGAAAGGCCCACACCCCCACATCTGGCTTGTGTGTTTTGTGTGTGTGTGTGTGTGTGTGTGTGTGTGTGTGTGTATGATGTACTCTTAAGGCCAGGTGAGTCATTTATTTTGGGAGGAACAGTTCAATAGCATGATCCTCAAGTCAGTCAGAGTTGCACATCACATCCGTGGTTGAGAGCGATGGAAGAGGACACATGATGTTTCCCTTCGGCCTTCATACACAGGTCCATGCTTGCGCCTCCATGCACATGCATATGGTTGCACTCCTCACACACAGAGGTATGTGAGAGTTCAACTCCTAGCTATTGTGATGTCAGAGGGGCTGGTGCATCCTGGAAGTTATTTCATGAACTGTCAAATTGCTACAGGTTTAAAAATCAAAGGATAGGCTGGTGCTGATGACGCACACCTTTAATCCTAGCACTCTAGAGGAAGATCTTTGTGAGTTCAAGGCTAGCTTGGTCTACAGAGCAAGTCCTAGCACAACTAGGGCAATACAGAGAAACCCTGTCTTGAAAAAACTTAAAAAAAAAAATCAAAGGATACTTCAGGCAGTGGTGGTGCACAACTTTAATCCCAGCACTTAGGAGCCAGAGGCAGGCACATCTCTGTGAGTTTGAGGCCAACCTGGTCTACAGAGCAAGTTCTAGGACAGCTAGGACTACATAGAGAAACCCTGGCTCAAAAAAACCTAAATCAATCAGTCAATCAGTGGATAGTTCTAACAATGAAGAGAACAGGCATTCTGTTGTTAAGATGCTGTGAGAATGGCTACAGCAGAGCTGCCCACAGCCCTGCCTTTTGTGGCCCTTTTGTTGTCCAGTTGTCTGTCCGCACATAAGCACAGAGCCCGTGGCAGGAGCAACACTACCCCAGCAGCTGCTTTGCACACTGACAGCAAGTGCTCAGGGTCCAGTTCCCGGAGCACTAAATGCCTTGGGAGGTGTGGCTGGAGCAGTTCCCTGCTGAGGGCAGGGGACTGCCAGAGACTCTCTCGATTCTTTCAGATCAGGCCTTGGTACCTGACATGATGGGCTTTCTTGTCTCAGCTATGGCTCTATGATTTATAAAGTGAGGTTGAACACATATCCCTCATCCTTCTGAACGTTGACCAGGCATTCTTAATCATGAAGGAGACTCCAATAAACCCTTCTCCTGTAGGCCTCTTGCCCCCTCAAAGATATATTTAATTTAAATGGGGGCTTAAATGGATTTCATAACCTTACTATTGAACTAGAAAAGAAAATCTGTTAACCAGTGTGTTACCTCACACAGCTTGACGACAGAGACCATCTTTTTCAAGAGATCTGAGTCTACTAGAAAGCATGACATTTTTCTGAGCTGAATTTCTCTGAACTACCATAAAAATAGCTGTTTGTCCCCCAGGGTTGGCTGAGGAACTGGTTGCTTGTCAACTTGGCCCAGCACTAACAAGTCTCTTTGTGTCCTCACAGCTGTGTACACTGGCTCCTTCAGATGCTCTGAGACTAGTCTTTGTTGTCTCTTCAGGAAGAGCACCTTCTGTTCATTGACGTGCAGAGGAGCCAGTTGAGCGGATGTGGTGCTTGCTGGTCGTGGGAAAACTCCCCAGGGAATGAGAAATCCTAGACACAGAGGCCTAAGCACAGGTGCCGTGGGCATTTCTGGGACTATAAAGCTATACAAGAGAGCCTGAGGCACGTGCCTAAGCCACCCACCTGCTTACCAAGTCACTTGGCTGTACGTGTATTCTTAAGAAAAGGACTTTTTGGAGGGGGGCGCTTTTGAGACAGGGTTTCTCTGTGTAAAAATCCTGGCTATCCTGGAACTCTCCCCGTAGACCAGGCTGGCCTCAAACTCACAGACATCTGCCTGCCTCTGCCTCTCCAGTACAGGGTTTAAAGGTGTGCATTACCACCACTACCTGGAGAAAGAACTTCTTAACGTGGAGTGTTCTGTTGTGGTATATGTTGTACAAGTTTTTATTGGGGGAAACACAAATAGAGAATGTGAATGCTAATTCCACATAGGAGTCATTTGAAGATCCTAACAGGGCCAAGCATGGTGGTGGTTCACACTCTTAATTCCAGTACTTGGGAGGCAAAGGCAGGTGGATTTCTGTGAGTTTAAGGCCAGCCTGGTTGTAGCAAGTTTCAGGCTAGCCAGAACTACATAGTTTCTCTGGACAGCCTGTACCCACAGACCAAAAGTTAGAAGAGAACACTTGAGTGAGAGTCTGCTCTGTCTGGGGACTGGCTACTTTGTTGGTGCTGTGTGATAATAAATGGCCTGTTATTCTATGCTGATGTTGTCAGGGTATGGCCAACTTCTCTTTATTTATTTATTTATTTATTTTTTGTTTTATTTTTTTCGAGATAGGTTGCTCTGTAGTTTCTGAGCCTGTCCTGAAACTAGCACTTGTAGACCAGGCTGGCCTCGAACTCACAGAGATCTGCCTATCTCTGTCTTCCAATTGCTGGGATTAAAGGCATGTGCCACCACTGCCTGGCTGGCCAGCTTCTCTTATATAGAACAGGTGGCTCCTGGAATCCACTCCTCACATCTCTGTTGTGACATCGACCAGCGACCCAGCTCATGTGTCTGTTCCCCATCCTTCTCCCACACAGAGCTTTTCCCTGGCCTAGCTGGTTTGAGAGCCTTAGGGGATTCTTCCGCCTCCAATCCCCATAGGATTGATAGGATTATAGAAGCTTTGCTATGCGTCTGGCTTTTGCATGAGTTCTGAGAATTCAGACTCAGGTCCTCATCCTACATAGCAATTTTTTTTCCCCCTAACTGAGCCATCTTTCCAGTCCTGTTGTCATTTTTTGTTTTGTTTGTATTAGTTGGTTTTTAGGGCTAGGGGTGCAAAGTCTTACTGTGTAGCCTTAGCTGGCCTGGATATCATAGAGATTCATTTGCCTCTACCTCCAAATGCAGGGATTAAAGGCATGTGTCATCATGCTCAGTTTTTTGTTTGTTTGTTTGTTTGTTTTAAGATTTATTCACTCGGGGCTGGAGAGATGGCTCAGTGGTTAAGAGCATTGCCTGCTCTTCCAAAGATTCTGGGTTCAATTCCCAGCAACCACATGTTGGCTCACAACCATCTGTAATGAGGTCTGGTGCCCTCTTCTGGCCTTCAGGCATACACACAGACAGAATATTGTATACATATTAATAAATAAATATTAAAAAAAAAAGATTTATTCACTCATGTGCTGGGTGGTAGTGTCACACACCTTTGTTCAGGAGGCAGACACAGATGGATCTCTATGAGTTCGAGGCCAGCCTGGTCTACAGAGCGAATTGCAGGACAGGCTTCAAGGCTACAGAGAAACCCAATCTTGAAAAACCAAAAAATAAGTAATTTTAAAAAAATATTTATTAATTATGTGTACAGTGTTATATATGCTTGTGTGCCTGCAGGCCAGAAGAGGGCGCCAGTTCATGTGAGCCACCATGTGGTTACTGAGAATTGAACTCAGGACCTCTGGAAGAACAGCCAGTGCTCTTAACTGCTGAGCCATCTCTCTGGTCCCTTGTTGTGGTTTTGAGGCAGGGCCTCTTGTGGTCTACACTGGCTTTGAGCCCCCTGTGTAATTCAGGATGACTTTGAACTTCTGAGCCTCTCATCGCTCTCTAAAGTGATGAGGATGCAGATATGTGCCATCTACCTGGCTCCTTAATTTATTTTTTATTTTGAGATAAACTCTCACTAGTTGCCCAAGATGGCCTTGAACTTGGCCATCCAGTCTCAGGCTTCCAAATATCTGGGTACAGATATTTGGCACACTTTTGTATATAATCTATATAATTTCAGAATTCCAGGGCACCTGGGCAGAAGCAGTCAAGAAGCATGAGCATGCTGGGTGTGATGGAGCACACCCATAATTCCAGTACTCAGGACGCAAAGACAGGCAGATCTCTCTGAATTGAAGGACAGTTTCATCTATACAGCAAGTTTCCAACCAGCCAGGGCTACTGAGATTGATAGTCTCATCAAAACAAGCAAAAGAATTCTGAGCATGAAGCCAGGAGGTCTCTGGCAGAATGTTTTGTGTGGCTCTCCCTTAGCGGCCACATCTCTTGCTCTCTGTGTCATTATTGCTCTACCAAATACTCAGGTATCCAGAGGAACCTTGGGGCTGTGACAGAAGGCAGTGTCTATGGTGCTTCTTTGAGTCTAAACTCATTTTTAAAAATCAGCATTGTTTTTAGGCATCTGCTTAGCTTTGGCAAGGTGACCAAAGACCTCCTGGAATTAGACTTATAGATGGCTATGAGCCACCTGATGTGAGTCCTCTGCAAGAGTGGCCCTGGTTTTAACCACTGAATCCTCTCTCCAGCCCTACTTTTAATATCCTGGACAAGAACCCTCATACCTAAACCCAAGTGTTAAAGTGTTTAGGCACCACACAGGAAGGGTGGTGGCAGCTCAGCAAGAACTGTGACTCCTGGGATGAGAATGTACTACTCCCTTGCAGGGATGTTACCTGCATCTCCAGGGCGTCTTTGGGCAGTTCTGCCTCCACATATGGCCAAGGGAAAGTGCTGTGGTTGAAGAACAAGCAGCTTCACACTTTTGGCATGACTTTGAAAGCCATTGGGAAGGTATCCCCACCTCATCACCTTGTTGGGAAGGAATCTGGTGGCCTTTACTTTTCCCTGCCAAGGTGAAGGGGGTGGAGAAAAGCCATTTTGTTGAAATCCTCCACTCCAAAGGCCGCTCACTGTCTGCTCTGTTCTCCCAGGAATGGGCACTACAGACCATGTCATCGTCTTGGCATCCACAAATCGTGCTGATGTTTTGGACAATGCTCTCATGAGGCCTGGGCGACTTGATAGGCATGTCTTCATTGATCTTCCCACTCTGCAGGTCAGAACTACTGGGAAGGAGGGGCAGCTAGCTTTGCATAGCACAGTTCTTGTGGTCTGGGCACAGCCTTCCTTCCCTGGGAAGCTCTAGTTTTGTAGTTGTCTTTGTTCTTTCTCCAGGGCTTGGGCTTGGTGTGACATTACTATGGCCATTGGGGCCCAAGTATGTGGCCATGGCCCCTCTAGGAGCCATGAAAATACACAATGTTTTTTTGTAGTTATTTTGTTTTGGTTTTTGTGACAGAGTCTTGCTATGTATCCCAGGCTGGCCTTGAGCTTAAGATCCTCCGGCCCTCCAGTTTCAAATTCTTCTCTCTCTCTTTTTTTTTTTTTTTTTGTTGTTGTTGTTGTTGTTGTTTTTTCGAGACAGGGTTTCTCTGTAGCTTTGGAGCCTGTCCTGGAACTAGCTCTTGTAGACCAGGCTGGCCTCGAACTCACAGTGATCCTCCTGCCTCTGCCTCCTGAGTGCTAGGATTAAAGGCGTGCGCCACCGCCTGGCATCAGCTTCAACTTTTTGAATGCTGGGCTCACAGGCCTAGAAATGGGACTTGCTCAGTGTTTACTCACTGCTCTTTCCTAGTTCCACAGTGAGCATAAGTTTCCCCAGTGTGTCCTGTCTGTCCTGTCTTCATCCCTACCTGTATGGAGTTGACTGCACTCGCCTAGGTTCAGGTGGTTTTTTGGTTTTTTGGTTTTTCTTTTTTGAGACAGGGTTTCTCTTGTTGCCCTGGCTATCCTGGAACTCTCTCTGCAGACCAGGCCGGCCTCAAACTTAGAGATTCATTTGCCTCCCAAGTGCTAGGACTAAAGGTGCAAGCCACCACTGTCTGGCTTAGGTTGAGTTTTATAGTAAATTCTCTCAAGTCAAAATGAGGATATTTCTCCTTTCCATCTTGAATTCTATGAGGTCTTGGGGTTTTTCATCCTTCCCTCTTAGATTTATTTATTTGTGCATTTTTATGTATATGAGAGTTTATCTGGATGAATGCATGTGCACCATGTGTGTGCCTAGTGCCAGAGGAGGTCAAAAGAGAGTATCAGATCCCTTGGGTCCCTAGCAACTAAAGTTTCAAATGTTTTTGAACCATGATGTGGCTACTAGGAACCCAACCCAGTTCCTCTGAAAGAGCAACAAGTGTTCCTAACCTCTGAGCCATTTTCTCCAGCTTCTCATCATCTTGCCTCTTTAAATTGGTTTCCAAAACCACGGGTATGACTGAGAATGTCAGTCATTTAGAAGCCAGTGTCCTATGACACCACCAGTTTCATTCATGGAGCTCATGGAAGAAGGGTTCATCTTGTTAGCAATTGTGATGAATTCAGCCGTGTCCCCCATCTGTGACAGGAGCGGCGGGAGATTTTCGAGCAGCACTTGAAAGGCCTGAAGTTGACCCAGCCCAGCAGTTTCTACTCCCAGCGACTGGCAGAGCTGACGCCAGGATTCAGTGGTACGACCTTGACCCCAGTACACGTGGTCATAATGGAGCATCCACCTCCCAGTCCAAGTGCCATCCCTGTTCTGAGTCACTAATCAGGCCTGGGTGAGATCAAGTGTGAATGTAAGCAGCAGAGGGATAGAACAGTGGGCTGTCTTCCTCCCGGATGGTGGAAGCAACAGCAGAAGTGTTGTGTTGCTCACCCACCTTCACAGGCAGCCCTGTGGTGTCTCCACTACAGTAGCAGTCAGCATTGTGATGGCCCCAGAGCTTCTGTCAACAACTGCGAGACAGTCTGCCTGTGTCTCCTGTGTTGCCTCTACATAGAGAACACCTTCTAGTTTAGACTGTCCCACGAGGCTTCCTCCACACAGACCCCATGGGATTTCCAATGAAGTAGAAATTACAACTCGGTGCCTTCAGGGCGGCACCCGCCTTTAATCCCAGCTCTCAGGAGGCAGAGGCAGGTGGATCTCTGTGAGTTCAAGGACAGCCAGGGCTACACAGAAAAACTCTGTCTCAGAGAGAGAGAGAGAGAGAGAGAGAGAGAAAGAGAGAGAGAGAGAGAAATCACAGTTAGGTTTCCTTTCTGTATAGCTCCCATTTTAAAGGTACATTTTAAATTACCCTGAAAGCCAGGCTGCTGGCTTATGCTTATTATTGTTACTTTTCAGAATTCATTTTTATTTCATGTGCACTGGCATCTACGCTATAACCTTAAACACTTGAGAGGCTGAGACATAAAAACTGCTGTCAGTTTAAGGACAGACTAGGCTATAGCATGAGATCCTGTCTCTAAAAATAAAAACAAAATTTCTCTTAGACTACTTTCTTCTTTTTTGATTATGCTTCAGCTTTTAATAGAATTTGTACACATGAGAGCCCTTCATTCTTATTCTTTTGTACACATTAGAAATGTCAGGTGCCATAAAACAGCCCAGAAGCAGACAAGAAAGGGCTGCAAGATCCCGAGTAGCATGACATTGTAGTGCTGCCTGTTCCCCTGCCTCGCTCCCTCCTGCCTCCCTCCCTCCTGCCACAGTTCACCGCTGGTGACATTTATTTCCTTCCTCTCCCCTCCCTTTTCCTATTCTTCTCCCTCCTTCCCATCTCCCTTCCTTTCCTTTTACCCTTACTCCCTTCCTCCTTTCCTTTTTGTTCCTTTCTCTGTTGTGTTGCGATAGAGTTCCATTATGTAGACTATGCTTGCCTAGAACTTGTAGTCCTCTTGCCTCAGCCTCCCCAGTAATAGAATCATAGACCTATGCCCCCACTTCTGGCTTTTTCCATTTTTGTTTTTCTTCATTAAAAGCTGAGTCTCCCTCCTTCCTTCTTTTTCCTTTTTCTAAATGCTGACAGGGAAGAGCCAGCCCCACCCCCCATCCCTGCCTGTGGTTTGTGTTGACAGGCGCCGACATCGCCAACATCTGCAATGAGGCTGCCCTGCATGCTGCACGGGAGGGGCACACATCTGTCCACACGTTCAACTTTGAGTATGCGGTGGAGCGTGTCATTGCCGGTATGAAGACACACCCCTTGTTAAGGCTTGCTAGGGCCAACACTTTCAGACAACCAGTCAGAAGTTGTCTGTACCAGACAATATGGGGGTTGGGTAGGGGGAAGTAGGCCCAGGTTCTGTCATTACATCAGTAGCAAGGAATTGTTACTTTTCTTCCATTTGAGATATTGTAAATTTATATTGAGATATTGTAAATTTATCAAAGAACAGACCTACTCCTCAGGCAAATATAAAAACATCTTCAAGTCCAATATGCTGGCACACATATTTGTAATACCAATATTTGGGAGGTCGAAGATCTGGAGTTTAAAATCATCCAAGTCTACATCTAAGCCATCCTGTACTACATGAGATACTATCTCAAAAAACTGGGGAGATGGGAGGGCAAGGCCAGGCATAATGACGCACACCTTTAATCTAAGCGTTCAGGAGGCAGAAGCAGGAGGATCTCTGAGTTTGAGGCCAGTTTGGTCTACAACTTGGTGAGTTCCACAAAAGCCAGGGTTATGTAGAGAGACTATATCTCAAAACAAAACAAAACAAAAAAGAAAACAACAACACCTCCAAAAATAAGTTCACTGTACTCCCCTCTGTGGCATTGATTATCCTAGGTACCATGAAGTGACTGAGGGCCCACCTCAGACCAGATGAGGCACAGCCAGCCAAGTATGGTGTAGGATAGAGGCTGCTGACCTCAAAGGCCACCTGCAGGGTCTGTAGGAGGAATAAATCTGCCACTGACTCTCATTTTTATAAAACTAATGACTCTGGTGATTAACAAGGTAGGAGCCTCATTTTCCATCAAGAGGATGGGGTGCTGTTTGTTAAGTTTTGGTTGGTATATGTTTTCTTTGAGATGGGATCTCATTATATAGCCTTGGCTGGCCTTAAAATCACAGAGATCTGCCTACCTCAGCCTCCCAAGTGCTGGAATTAAAAGCATGAATCATAATGCCCAGTGAACAAGAGTGCTTTGCAATGGTGCTTAACCAAAAGCATCTTTTCTTTTTTTCTTTTTGAGACAGGGTTTCTATGTAGTCCTGGAGCTCTCTAAGTGGACTAGGATGGCCTTGAACTCATAGATCTTTCTGGCTCTGACTCCAGAGAGCTGGAATCAAAGTGTGCACCACCGTGCCTAACTCATTTTGGCATCTTGAATAGCATGTGCTGGAACCTCCTACTCAATTTCTGTGAACCATGAGTACATCAGACACAGTGGCAGCAGATCGTTCAGCTGGAGGTGGTTGTGAGTGTCAAGTACAGGACCCTAGGCCCTACTGGAAAACCAGGTTCCCTCAGAGCCAAGACAGAGGTTCACTCTCAGTATTCAGACCCAAGACAGTTGGTGTTTAATGGACCTGCCGGTTCTCATTCCCTCATCCCTGTGTTGATGTCAGCTTCCATCAGAAAATAAAAACCTTAGGGAAAACATACTTCTACTTAATTTTTTAATTTTTTTGTTGTTCGTTTGTTTTTCAAGACAGGGTTTCTCTGTGTAGCTTTGGTGCCTGTCCTGGAACTTGCTCTGTAGACCAGGCTGATCTCGAACTCACAGAGATCCACCTTCTTCATCTTCCTGAGTGCTGGGATTAAAGGCATGCGTCACCCCTGCCCAGCTACATACTTTTACTTTTTTATTTATATTTTTGAGAGAGGGTTTCACTATGTAGACCAGGCTGGACTGGAACTCACAGAAATCTGCCTGCCTCTGGAACTCCTAAGTGCTGGTATTAAAGGTGTGCATCACCGTGCCTGGCCAAAACATTCTTTAGAAAAAGATATAGGCAGCTTCCATTCTGTTCTCTACTGACTGTTATGAAGAAATCATAACTAGGTAGTGACAGCTCTGTTTGTCCTTCCCTCAGGAACTTCCTGCTTCCAGAGGCCCAGCCTTGGGAACCTGTGGCATTTGTCCTGTCTTAGTTAGGGTTTCTATTGCTGTGAAGAGACACCATGACCATGGCAATTCTTATAAAAGAAAACATTTAATTGAGATGGCAGCTTACAGTTCAGAGGTTCAGTCCATTATCATCATGGTGGGGAGCATGGCTGTGTGCAGGCATACAGGATGCTGGCTACATCTTGATCAGAAGGCAGTAGGAAGTGGACTGTCACTCTCGGCAGGATCTTGAGCATATATGAGACCTCAAAGCCCACCTTAGCAATGACATACTTCCTCCAACAAGACACCTGCTCTAAGTAGGCCACATCTCCTAGTAGTACCATTCCCTTTGGGGGCCATTTTCTTTTCAAACCTAAACATTAACTTGATGTCAGGTGTGGTGGCACCTGATGGCCTGGGCAACATAGTGAGACCCTGTCTCAAAAAGCAGCAACAGCAACAGCGAAAAGATATACAGAATGGGAACTTAATGTTCGAAAAGTTTGGGATGGTAAATGACCAGAAGCTAAGCAGGGAGGGTTAAGTAGACGTGCCCCTGAGGTGTGAAGCCCTCATCTCATGGAGGGAAGGAGGAAGCAGAACACTGCAGCAGAGGCAGCTGCTGCTGGAATTCTGACGGGGCCTCCTCATCCTGTCAGTGACAAAGTCAGAAGTCACTCATGGCATAGGGAGGGACGCACTGAAGATGAAGACTGTCCTAGTTCCTAACGAACTGCTTTGATAGCCCTGGGTGGTGGCACACACCTTTAATCCTGGCACTCGGGAAGCAAAGGCAGGTGTATCTTTGAATTTGAGGCCAGTCTGGTTTACAGATCAAGTTTTAGGACAGCCAGGGCTACACAGAGAAACCCTGTCTCCCAAATCCATAATAAGAAAAGAAAAGAAAGAAAGAACTGTTTTGATGGTTCCCAAGAAACACTCCACTCCACCTCTTCCCAGGGTTCCCTGGAGTTTGGCTGTCAAGAGGGATGTCTGTGTGAGGTGTCAGCAGAGCTACATAAGTGCCAAGCAAGAAGACAGTGCCCAGAAGGTACCCATCATATTGTTCCTGAACTTGGTTCTTGTCTTCTTTCAGGAACTGCTAAAAAGAGTAAGATCCTTTCCAAGGAGGAGCAGAGGGTGGTTGCCTTCCATGAGTCTGGCCATGCCTTGGTTGGTTGGCTGCTAGAGCACACAGAAGCTGTAATGAAGGTGGGTTGTGATGACGGGTTGGTAGGCGATCTGAACTCATCTGGTCTGGGAAACACCACGTGTGTTTCTGTTATGTGAAAGAAATTTTATCACCAACTTGGCATGACTCTGGCTGTAGCCCTAGCAGGAACTAGGAGAGAGAGACTGGAGTGGGTCCCAAACCTTAGTTACCAGGCATGAGGAGAAAGTTTCCTAGGTCCAGGTCCTCTGTCTCTGACCATTTGGGCTTCATGGCAGAGAGGTGAACTTGTTTCTGCTCAGAACGGCAAATGTTTCTTTGAGATAGTTTCCAGAAATCATGTAGACTATGCATAGAGACCCTTGAGGAATCCAGGGGTATGGGACAAGAGATGTGGCATTCAGCTTACCCTGTAGGGAGGCCTGGGTAGTTCTGACAAGTAGCAAAGATTCCATAGGGGCTGGTGACACTACTGTTCCCACTCCCGCAGTTCAGGATGAGGCAGTGCAGCAGACACGGACTACCTGTATGTGCACCCTTGCTCAGTTCCGCTGCTGTTTTCAGAGCTAACAGCACATTGTCCGGTCTCTTTGAAGTAGATTGGAGCAGCCCCTCTGTGTTCCTGGGATTGGCAGGTTAATGCCTACCTGCTACCCCATGGCATATTTGGCTGTCACTAATCTGGGGACTAGGCCCAGCTTGAGGCAGGCTGGGCACTAATGAACTCAGTAGCAAAATAAATACTGTTTCAAAACTCCAAACAAATGCCAAACTCAAAATTTCTTTTTGCTCTCAAAATTGTTACTTGATCTTTATGGCTGCAAGCATGGCTGTGTTCTGTGAAGGAACCTGTGGCTGTCACTGTGATCCTGATGGATTGTGAGCACAGTTTTTTCTTATTGTAGACATTAAATCATCTTCTAAGAAAATTTCTTGCCAGACATTGGTGGTGTGCGCCTTTAATCCGAGTACTCGGGTAGCAGAAGCAGGTGGATCTCTGTAAGTTTGAGGCCAGCCTGGTTTACAGAGTGAGTTCCTGGACAGCCAGGGCAATGGAGAATCCCTGTCTCAAAAGATAAAACAAAAAAAATTTCTTTTTACTGGGTGGTGGTGGCCTGCCGTACCTTTACAACCTGTCTCAAAAAACAAAACAAAAAAAATTTTTTTCTTTCTATTTTATGTGTGGGTATTTTGGCTACATGTATGTCAGTATACCACATGTGTGCCTAGTTCTCATGGAAGCCAATAGTGGCCATTGGATCATCTTGAACCAGAGTTACAGGTGATTGTGAACCACCATGTGGGTGCTGGGAATCAACCTCGGAATCCTATGGACAGTCAATGCTCTAAATACTGAGCCATCTCTCCAGCCCCCATCTTTTTTTCTTTCTGGCAGTTCTGGGGATCCAACCCAGGATGGCACATGGAGAACAAGCTCTTTACCACTGATTGTAGTCATGGCCCTGACTTTGAAAGTTAATGCTAGCTTCTACCTGGGTCTCACAGGCAGCTGGGCCTGCATAGACCTGTCCCATACACTTTTCTTTGTCATACAGCAGCTTCTTCTTGGCCTGCTGGAGAAGTAATCCTACCTCTTCCTCAGATGTATGGCATTGTGGGAGGAGAAGGCAAGGGTAGGATGGCCTCCCTTCCTTGGGTACATTCCAGAGTTTCCCATGGATCAGTGCCGACTGGCATGTGAGGTGAAGTTTGCCCTTACACCTTGGGATTGCTTCTAAGAGACCTGTCATGTTGACTTGCTATGCACACAGTGCTACTGATGAACACACTACACAGAAACTCCTGTTTCCATGAGCTGCTTCTGCAGTGTGAGGATTCTCTTAAGAATGTGACGTAGAGACTAGCCTGAGTGGCTACTTGGCAACCTGATGATGTTTTAGGTGGCTCCTGTCACCCTTTGAGCTCACTTGCTCCCTGCTCTGTTGTTGTTCTGCAGGTCTCCATAGCACCTCGAACAAACGCTGCTCTGGGCTTCTCTCAGATGCTCCCTCGGGACCAGTACCTCTTCACCAAGGAACAGCTGTTTGAGCGGATGTGCATGGCACTAGGTGGTCGTGCGGCTGAGGCCATCTCATTCAGCAGGGTTACCTCTGGTGAGGAGCGAGCCTTAGGGTTTGTCTTGTCAAAGTCCTCTGTCTAATGCCTGCTTCCTTCTGCTCAGTGCACTTGACAGGGTGGGACTGGTGGAAGATGTGTGCCGTGCAGATGGAGTCTGAACCAGAGGAGACCTGGAATGAAGCAAAAGTCTTACTTTAAGATACTTATTGTAAACTGGGTGATGGTGGCGCATGCCTTTAATTCCAGCACTCGGGTGGCAAAGGCAGGCAGATCTCTGTGAGTCAGAGGCCAGCCTGGTCTACATAGCAAGGGCTGTTACAGAGAAATCCTGTCTTGGGAAAAAAAAAAAACCAAAAAAACAAATAAAAAGATACTTATTTTAAAACTTTCACATAAACTGTAAAATCACAGACTGTAAATACATTTGCTTGGTTAATTGCTGGTCATGGCTACATAGAACTGGATATTAGAGCATTTGCAGAAAGGTAATGGGGGTCTCAGGGACATTGTGCCTCAAATGTGACAGGCTTCCCTAGTACAGACCTGGCCATACACTAGAGTATGTCACTGATGTAAGGCAGGCCAGTGTCCTGAGTAGTTAAGTTTTTTCCTTTAGGAAGCAGTAATGAGCCAGTAAAATGGCTCAGCAGGTAAAGGGTCTTGCTGTCAAGTCTGCTGTTTGGACATCAGTCCCTAGAATCCATGTTGTGAGATAAGGGAACCAACTCTGGCAAGTTCTTCTGGTATTTGCCTGTGTATGTGCACACACATATAAAAAAAAATGTAATTTGGGCTGAAGAGATGGCTCAGCCATTACAGGCTAGGCTCACAACTAAAAATATAAGAGTTCGATTCCCAGCACCCATGGCTGTCTCTCCAGCCACTGTAAAAAAAAAAAAAAAAAAAAAAATGAAGTACTGCGTCCCAGTTAGTGTCTTGCTATGGAAGTTGTAAGCATAGTGTTGTGGGATATTTGGTGCTGCTTGGGCTGTGACAGTCTGAGGTCAGGTGCTCCTCTGTACATACACTCTTCAGAATACCTCTCTTTCTGGATTCCAGGGGCCCAGGACGACTTGAAGAAGGTTACCCGCATTGCCTACTCCATGGTGAAACAGTTTGGGATGGCACCTAGCATTGGGCCCGTCTCCTTTCCTGAGGCACAAGAGGGCCTCATGGGCATTGGACGGCGTCCCTTCAGCCAGGGCCTTCAGCAGCTGATGGACCATGTGAGTGGGCACAGACCTCACTGCCCATGGTGGAGAAGAATCTGGGTGTCTCCCCTGCAAGAGCCTGTTAGCGCCCTCAAATGAGCCTAATGTGAAGGCCTAATGTGACTGGTTTTGTTCTGAACTCTGACCTGTTAAGTGTGTTCTTTTGGCTGAGGACCTAGATGGCTCCAAATAAAGCTAGGTTTGGAACTGGGAAAAATGTCTATTATAAGGATACCAAGTGGTAGAGCAGTGCACATGATCCCTGTAGCTCGCAAGCTGGGCCAGCATGGCGCCTGGGTCTGCTCAGGGCCAGTCGTGAGCAGCAGCTGTGGGTTGTCCAGTTGCTCTCTTGAGGGTGAGGGTGGCTGGTGGGTGTGCATCCCTTAGACAGAGTGAGAACAGAAGACAGTGCTGCTGTGTGTTGTGAAGGATGGGCCTGCTCCTGAGCCACGTTTTCTAACCTTGATGTTAGAGCTGGCTGTCAGTGAGTCTGTGGACAATGCTCCTTACCTCTCTCGTGACAGACTTCTCTTCCTTTACAGGAAGCAAAACTGCTGGTGGCTAAAGCCTACAGACACACTGAGAAGGTGCTGCTAGACAACCTGGACAAGCTGCAGGCGGTGAGGGCATGTGGGCCCAGGCATCCCCAAAGCGTCTCTGGAGCCTAGAAGTGTAGGGGACAGTGTGCTCAATACTGATACCCCCTATGCAGCTAGAATGCGTTTCCCCGTCTTCTCACTACAGTCCCGTCAAGCCAGTGCATTCAGAGGAGAGTTTCTTCTGCCCTCGTGCACAGGTTATACAGACGAGCAGTATCAACATTGAATTGTAGGAGGTTTCCAGCACTTAAACTTTTTCTCCAGGGAAAAAAATAGCTATTTTTCAATTTATTTTTAATTATGTGTGTGTGCTTGTGTATGTGTGTAAGTATCTGCACTTGAGTGCAAGTGACCACAAAGGCCAGAGGAAGGAGCTGGACCCGCAAGTGGTCGTGAGCTACCTGAGCAGAGTGCTGGGAGAGGAGTTTGGCTCCTCTGCTTCTCTTCTCCACCTTCTTCTTTCGTGGGCTCTTCGTTTGTTTTTGAGACAGGGTCTCTGTGTAGTCCTGGCTATCGTAACTCACTGTGTAGACCAGGCTGGCCTCAAACTCTCAGAGCTCTCCATGCCTCTGCCTCCCGAGTGTTAGAATTAAGGTGTGTGCCACTATGCACACCCAGTGTATGCTCTTTACCACCAAGACGTCTCTCCAGCCCTCCCTCAAATGTTTTCAAAGATCTTTTTTTCATTTTAGAATAGATTTCGATTCAGAAAACTATACCTATGTAGTACAGCGTTCCTTAGTCACCAGGTGTGTGCCCTGCAGTCACCATCTCCTCGGTACCGGGCATCCTCACCCCAGCAGCCCAGCACTGACACTGAGAACTGAGCCCTTAGTGGATTCACACTTGCTCACCTTCCCAGCGGCCCGGATCCCACCGGACACACAGTCACTACATCTTATATTTCTCCTTCCTCTGACAGTCTCTCAAACCTCTGTCCTAAGGATAGCACAAGACTGCGGGTCCTGCGGGATTGTCTGGTATTGTAGTGTGGGCAGTCAATTTTGAAAAGGGAAGAAGGCTCCAGAGGTGAGGACACTGTGTTCCTAGGTTAGTTATGATGGCTTCTACCCAGAAGGCAGTGGAAATGATAGTTCTTGGTGCCACATGCAGACAGACAAGAGTTGGTGTGGGTAGTTATTTCTAGCCTTTTGCTTCCATAAAATGAGGCACCTGAGCCAAGCATTGTTGCTACAGGCTTGTTGATACAGGCCTGTCATCCCAGCTCTCTGGAGGCAGAAGCACAAGAATAGTTGAGTTCATGACCAGCGTAGCCTACAGAGTGACATCTTGCTTCCAAAAACTAAAAAAAAAAAAAAAAAAAAAAAAAAAAAAAAGCCAGGCGTGGTGGCACACACCTTTAATCCCAACACTCAGGAGCTATGGAGGCAGGCAGATCTCTCTGAGTTCATGTTCAACCTGGTCTATAAAGCAAGTTCCAGAACAGCCAGAGTTGTTACACCAATAAAACCCTGTCTCAAAAAAAAAGTTTCAGACCTTCAGAGTATTGGTCCTACGGCAGTGCAGTACCTGCTGAAGTAACCTCTGATTAGTAAGGAGCCAGTGTTACTGTACAGAACTTCAACTTGCTGTACTGGAGGGGTAGGGGTTGGAAAGACCACCAGTGGGTACCCACTGACCGCAGAATGGAGCTGCCTCTATTTGGACTGAACTACAGTGAATAGGTTTTAGTCTAGTGACAGACGACAGCAAAGGAGAACTGTGCCTCTTCCAGTACAGCTACAGACATCACCCCGGGGCCTAGATGTCTAAAGCCCAGCATCACCAAAAACAAAAGGAAAATGGGGAAGAGTTTTCTTTTAAATATTGGGTTTTTTTTTAAAGATTTACTTGTTTAATATCTGTGCATGTACCCGAGTGTATATATGTGCACCACAAATGTGCAGGAACTTGTGAAGGTCAGAAGAGGTCATTGCTTTCTTGGAATTAGAGTTATAGGTAATTGAAAGCTGCCATGTAGGTGCTGGGAACCAAACCCAGATCCTCTGTATGAGTAGCAAGCACCACCTTTAGCCTCTGAGTTGTTTTGTTTTTGTTGTTGAAATAGAGTCTCACTATGTAGCCCTTGCTGACCTGGAACTAGGGAGACCTCAAACTCATAAACCATATTTTCCCTTTGTCTCTAGGGTTAAAGAAGTGTTCCACCATATGCAGCTATTGGGAAGAGTTTCTTAACCAGCAAAATGTAACAGGATATGGCCACAGACACAGGACCTTTAGGATAAAAATATTTTCTGGGCCAGGCATGGTAGCATATGCTTGTAATCCTGGCATTCAAGAACTTGAGACAAACATAGTAAGCTTGAAGTCAGCCTGAGTTTATATATATATATCTGTCTGGAAATATAATGTGATGATGAAGATGATGATGATGTTCATGTTTGTATCCAGAGGAGCAGAAATCCCTCCCCAGCTGTGTCAGTCGGTGCCTAGCTCCACAAATTCCAAGCACGAGGCTCTGTATTTAGCTCCCCCGCCTGCCTCTCCCAGACACATATACCTTGTTTGGTGAAGGAAATTGCACTTGCCAGAAATAAGCAGAGGTTTTGAAAGGAAATAGAAAAATTAATGAGGCTGGCAGCTGACAGCTCACTTTTAGGGTAAAGACAGGGAGCAATTCTTTGCCTTAACTGCCTTTGCGCCTGTGTCTCTCTGGGAAGGCGACCTTTCTGAGGCACCCTGCTCACAGATTAGCCCTCCTGCTCTCCTAGGACACAGAGACGTTCTGTGGGATGGGTCTCCGTCTCTGACGTCTGCCCTCCAAGGCTCTTGTCTTGTCCAGGCCACTCACACTGCCGTGTTTGTTCTTTCTAGCTGGCGAATGCCCTTCTGGAAAAGGAAGTGATAAACTATGAGGACATTGAGGCCCTCATTGGCCCACCACCCCACGGGCCAAAGAAAATGATCGCACCACAGAAATGGATTGATGCTGAAAAGGAGAAACAAGCCTCAGGGGAGGAGGAGGGTCCGGCTCCCTAGCCCCCACCTCCAAGACCCAGCTCCACTTTCCTCGACTGCACCTGCAGTTAACTCAAAACTTGTCGGCCAGCTGCCATCAGCCTCCGAGAGTCTTTTCACCTGAAACTTGAATCTCTGCCTCTGTCAGCTCTCTCTGGTTTCTGATGAAGACTTCTGATATCTATTTATTGATTCAGGATTAGTAAATCGTTGGCAGAGACAACTGACCTTCCATATGTATTGCTTTCCTTGTGGGGCGTGTGCATGTTTGAGTCCCTGGGCTTCAGGTGCCGGTCTCCATGATCTGAAGGTGGCCCACAGTTGGACTGAATGATCTCGTTTGTGTCCTGGGTGCCCTCAGAATGCTAATAGGATCTGAGATGAAAGACCCTCTGAGCTGACTGTCCGCATCACAGTGCACACTCATTGGGTGTGGGGGGTTGGGAACAGTCACTGTTGGAAGATGCAGATACTGCCACCTACTGCCTTGTGCACCAGTAAATGGAGTCTCCCCTGTCTGATCCTTCTTATGTAGAGTGCCTTAGCTTCCACCACCAAAATTGATGCCTTTCCCACTTTGTGGTAGAGAATCGACATTTGAGCTGTGTAGCCATGAGCCTTGTTTCCCTTCATACCTTGAGCCCTTCAGTGGTAAGACAGGCCCTTTGCGTAGGATCTGAACTCAAACCATGTGGGGTGAGCCACAGGTGCTTGCTGGCTCATAGTTCCTGCCTGTGACGCCTCCACCCTTCCTGTGCAGGGGCATTTGGAGCATGGGTTACAGTGACTTCCTGTCAGAGCAAATTGTTGTTACTGCTCAGCACTCTGCACCCGAGGATGCTGCTGAACGGTAGGAAGCAGTAGCAGGACCGCCAGCAGCATTTGGGGGCAGCTCAAGGGGTTTGTAAGAACATTTTAAGTTTGATCTGATTCTAATTCTTACCGAAGAGTAGTGCATAATTAGGTTTCCTATTTCTCTAAGCGGTGTCTTAAGCAGGCATGATGACTCTGCAGACCTGATAACCTGAGTTCCATCGCTGGACTCAGTCCTTTGACCAGTCCATGCCCAGATTCATATACACAAATAAGTATGCCAGGCTTGGACGTACTTGGAGGCAGATACCGGCAGATTTTGATGAATTTTGAGCTCAGTCTAGTAACCTACAGCGTTCATACCAACCAGAACTACGTAGTGAGACCCTATCTCTAAAATAAAATGAATGAAAATAAGCAAATGTAAAAATTGTTATCCACTGAAACAGTCCCATCTACCTATCTCTATGTTTTTTTTGTTTTGTTTTGTTTTTTGAGACAAGATTTCTGTGTAGCTTTGGAGCCTATCCTGGAACTCACTCTATAGGCCAGGCTGACCATGAACTCACAGAGATCCACCTGCCTCTGCCTCCCTAGTGCTGGGATTAAAGGCTTAATTTATGATAAATGTTTTACCTGAACGTATATATATATATGTGCCACATGCAGTGCTTGGTACCCATGGATGTCGAAGAGGCACCTGGTCCCCTGGAACTGCAGCTATGAATAGCTGGTGAGCGCCCCTAGCCACTCAGCCATCTCTCCAGCCCCCCCCTTTTTTTTTTTTTTTGCCAGGTCTGGATTATGTAGCCCTGGCTGGCATCAAACTTGTAATGATCCTCCTGTTTCTGCCTTCTGATTGCTGGGATTATGGGTGTGTACCACCAAATCCAGCCAGAAACACTATGCCACTCTGATATTTTTTAAAAAATCAGAATTGGGGACTGGAGAGGGATGGCTCAATGGTTAAGAGTGTTTACTGCTTTTTTTTTTTTCCTTTCTTTTGAGACAGGGTTTCTCTATAACTCTGACTGTCCTGGAACTTGCTTGCTCTGCAGACCAGGCTGATGTGAACTCACAGAGATCTGCCTGCCTGTGCCTTCTGAGTTCTGGGATTAATTAAAAGCCTGGTGTGTTTACTGGTTTTGCAGAACCCAGGATTTTTTTTTAATATTTATTTTATTTTTTATGTATACAATATTCTGTCTGTGTGTATGCCTGGTGGCCAGAAGAGGGCACCAGACTTCATTACAGATGGTTGTGAGCCACCATGTGGCTGCCGGGAATTGAACTCAGGACCTTTGGAAGAACAGGCAATGCTCTTAACCTCTGAGCCATCTCTCCAGCCCCCAGAACCCAGGATTTGATTCCCAGGATGCATATGGCAGCTCACAATTGCCTATCTAACTCTAGTTCTGAGGGATCCAGTGCCCTCATCTGGTCTCTGCGGGCTCCTGAAACATGTGGTGCACATAACTCACAGGCTTACACACATATTAAATTAGTAATCTTTAAAAATCAAAAGAGAGGGGTTAGAGAGATGGTTCAGCGGTTAAGAGCACTCTCTGGCCGTTCTTCCAGATGTCCTGAGTTCAATTCCGAGCAACCACATGGTGGCTCATAACCATTCGAGATCTGGTGCCCTCTTCTAGCCGGCAGAACGCTAGATACATAATAAATAAGTCTTTTTTAAAAAATCAAAAAAGGCCAGGTGGTGGTAGCGCACATCTCTAATCCCAGTGCAGCGCTCCAGAGGCAGAGGCAAGCGGATCTCTGTGAATTCGAGGTCAAGCCTGGTCTATAAGAGCTAGTTCCAGGATAGGCTCCAAAGCTACAGAGAAACCCTGTCTCAAAAACAAACAAACCAAAAAACAAATCAAAAAAGAATTAAAGTTACGTGATTAAAGGAGTCCCAGATTATGAATACCAAGAAAGTTTATTATTGAATCAGGCTGGATTTTCCTGATGCTCCCAAAATACATAAGTTTCAGTAAGCACTGGACGGGAAGGAGCTACTTGAACAGCTTGCTTTGGAATGAGCATGTCACAGCAATAACAAGCTGAGGCTAGTGATGCAAGAGATTGCAATCCTGTACAGAGCACGCCTCTCCTGCAAGGGTGCCATCCAACAAGCCCGTGGGTAGGATTGCGTTTGTGGAGTTCTCTGCCCAGGAGAACGGGAGCTAGACCTTGAAAACTGCTTCACTTCTGTGTCCACCTCGGTTTCATGCAGCAGAGGAAACTTAAGGGCACGGCTGCACTTCCTTTCAGCTAACTTGGTTCTAAGCCATGTTTCCGTTTCAGACTCCTAACAGCCCAAGCAGCGCTGGAGCTGGAACGCAGCTGCAGGTCTAGGTTAATGGCAGTCACCTGAGTCTGATTGTCCAGAAAGAGAAGATGGTGGTGGAGATGGAAACATCGCCGAGATTAGAGAGAGCCAGGTACTTGGCAGTAACAGAAACGGGTCTGAGAAAACATGCAAGGGGACTTTCATTCAAAGAAATGAGTACCGTGGATCAAGGCATTCATTCAGCAAATACTTCTCTGGGCAGGGATGATGGCTCAGGAAAGGAACTTGCTGCCAGCCTTTAAGGTGTGAGTAGCCCCTGGCTGTAACCATGGCTGTAACTGACCATTGGCCAGTCAGTCTTGCTGAACTGGGAAGTTCTAGGTTCAATGAGAGACCCTGTCCAAAAATAAGGTGGAGGGCATCTCCAGCATCAACTTCTGGCCTCCACACCCACATACTGAGGATCAAGCCTAGAGTCTCAATCATTATAATATAGTCTGTTGTATAACAGGCGAGTTTTCTGCACTCAATTGCATCCTCAGTCCTCTTTTCATTATATTTTCTATGCGTTTGAGCACACCAGGGTACCCAGAGGGCGCTCACCAGACAGCCTGGGGAATTCAGTTCTCTCCTTCCACCATGTGGGTGGGTCCCAGGAGTCCCGCTGAGCCATCCTGTCAGACATTTTTTTTTTTTTTTTGAAAGATGGTCTCACTAAGTCGCTCCAGAAAGCACTGAAATTGCTAATGTCCTGCCTGTTTCTAGAATTACAGGTCCATGACATCAGGCCCAACATTTTTAAAACTCATAGCTCTCTTAACTATGGATCCATTTCTACAGTTCCTATGATGTAAATTTCATCAGGATGAAACCTTTTAATTAAGGGTGGGGAGTTGCAAAAGACAGTTATTAGCATACAGATGCAGGATAGGTATATATGCCTTGGCTGCTTCATGGTTCGTTGCCGCTGCCATTGTCTGGACAAACGCAATATATGGATATGGTCACAGTCAATCCCGAGGAGTTAAGTCTGGGGTAAAGGGCTTATCTAAATAAATGGGGAGCTGGAGAGACGGCTAAGCAGTTACTAAGTAGTTACGGCTAAGCAGTTACAAGTTACTGCTTGTTCTTCCAGTTCAGTTCAGTCCCAGCAGCCATATGGCAACTCACAACTGTCGGTAACTCCAGTCCCGGAGATTCGACGCGCTCTCCCGGTCTCCCTGAACGCTGCACGTACGTGATGCAGACGTAAGTCACTGAAACACTCATATCCATAAAGTAAAAAATAAAAATCTCAAAAAAAAAATACGGGAATGGTGGTGTACGCCTGTAATCTTAGCTCCGAGGAAGAGAAGCGTGAGTTCTAGGCAAGCCTGGAGAACAGAGAGAGACCACAGCTCTTAAAAGAAGAATAAAGAGCCGGGCGGTGGTGGTGCACATGCCTTTAATCCCAGCAATCAGGAGATAGAGGCAGGCGGATCTCTGTGAGTTCAGACTGGTCTACAAGAGCTAGTTCCAGGACAGGCTCCGAAGCTACAGAGAAACTCTGACTCGGAAAGAGAGAGAGAGAGAGAGAGAGAGAGAGAGAGAGAGAGAGAGAGAGGAGTTCCTGAGTGGGTGGGTAAAAAACATCGAACCCAGGAAGGAGTTTTAGGACTTTAATTCGCGGGTCTTTTGAATTTTCCTATCTGGGCGCCTCCGACGCAGAGGGCAGAGGAAAAAGCTCCGCAAGGTTGGAAACCAGCAAAGAGACAGTAGCCACACATCTAGTGAGGCGCCGGGCCGCCGGCGGGCGGGTCCGTATGACGCCAGTTCCTCCTCTCCTTGTTCTGATTGGTTAGAGGGCGCCGGTGCTTGGGATTGGCCGGACTCTCGACAACCCCAGGGTGCTTTGCGGCGCTCGGTCCTTTCCGCTCGGCCGTTCCCCTGCACGGGAGGTGAGTGCCTACTGCCAGGCAGCCACCATCGCGTCGCATCGGGCTCCATCGGGCTCCCTTCGGGGTCATCGGCGAGGAGAAGCTGCCCATGCAGCTATGGAGGAGCCGAGGCGCCGACGGCATGGGGCTGGAGCCCGGGCAGGGGCGGGAGAACTCGGGGCGGGAGCTCGGGACTCTGGCCTTCATCCGCCGCCCTCCTCTCCCTCGCGGCCTTAGGCAGCCATGGCGCCCAGCCGGAATGGCATGATCTTGAAGCCCCACTTCCACAAGGACTGGCAGCAGCGAGTGGACACTTGGTTCAACCAGCCGGCGCGCAAAATCCGCAGGTGCGGGCGCGGGCCTCGCGCGTTCCCGGGGCGGGGGCCGCGGTGCCGCGTGCGGAGCAGAGGTAACGCTTGTGTTTTTCCCTCAGACGCAAGGCCCGGCAAGCGAAAGCGCGCCGCATTGCCCCGCGCCCCGCGTCCGGGCCCATCAGGCCTAT